GATGATGATGATGATGATGATGATGATGATGATGATGATGATGATGATGATTTTGCTGGTGATTTTGCTGGTGGCGGAACCCTCGGGTGGATGAGGCCCCACGGGTGCGGACGCCCTCCGCCGCCTGGCTCGGTCCAGCGACGGACGCCTTGGAGAAGAGGCGGGCGACGGGGCGGCTCGCCTTTTCCAGCAGCGTGGCCATTCGCAGGGCTACGGCACGAGCTGTGCTGCGTAGGCACTCAGAGCCCCCCGACTATGGGAGCGCGCTGTCCGCTGCTCTCAACCTGCTGGTGGCTCCGGGCGACGACGACGCCTAGCCTTCCTCGTCCCTCTCCCCTGTTTTTCCGCCTCCCTCCTTTCCCGCCCCCCCCTTCCCCCCCTCGTCTTCCCAGAGACTCGGAGTCGAGTTGTATTGCGGCGCGGTGCCCTGTCCGAGGTGCCCTGGCGGGATAGCGCCCCAAACCAGGGAGTTGCAACAATCTCCCTCCGATGGGCCCCGCGCCCGCGCCAGAGTTTCTGTCAGCTGCCCCTCCTGCCCGACCATAATTATTCGGCGCGTGTTCCTTCCTCTCTTTTCCCCCCCCTTTCCTTTTTTCTCCCGCTCCTTGCCTCCCCTGTCGGGCGCGCGCGCCTCACGGTGGGGGTCGGTGGCTCAGGTCCCACGGCCGCGCGCCCGCTTCCTTCGCCTTCCGGTTCCTCTCCTTTTCCCCCTCGCTCCCCCTCCAGGGTATCCCCTCTAATCGTCAGGCGTCTTTGCTCGCGCTCGGAGTTTCACCCCCCCCCTTTCCACCTGCCGGGGCGGCGGGGCCGGACAGGTGGTGTGCAGTCTGTTGGCCGTCCTTCCGCTTTCCCTGATCGGCCAGAAAGCTGGCGGTCGTCGCGGAGTGGCAGCCGTATATTGGTAATGCTGCGGATGTTGGCGGTGATAATGATATGGATGATTGCGCTGATGATGTTGCTGACGCTGAGGACGGTCATGATGATGATGTGGATGATGGCAATGACGGTGATGCTGATGCTGATGGTGTTGATGGTGTTGATGATGCTGCTGGTGATGGCGACGATGGTGTTGACGTTGATGATGACGACGATGACGATGACGATGACGACGATGACGACGACTGGTATGATGATGGTGATGATGATGATGATGATGATGATGATGACGGTGACGATGTTAATGATGGTGGCGATAGTGTTGATGATGCGGATGGTGACGATGGTGCTGAGGATGATGATTGCGATAATGCTGCTGATGATGATGTTGCTGGTGAAGGTGGTGATGATGATGTTGATGACGATTGTGATAATGATGTTGATGGTGAGGATGATGCTGATGATAGTGATCCTGATGATCCTGCTGATGTTGCTCATGCTGCTGATGAGGATGATGATGCTGACGCTGCTGCTTTTGTTGATGTTAATTTTGGTGTTGTGGGATTATGATGAGGATGCTGGTATTGGTCATGACTATGTTGTGGATGACGATACTACCTGTGATTCTGATGATGCGGATGATCTATACAGGCGAGGATGACTGTAATGATGCCGTTGGTGTTGATGCTGATGGTGATGATCCTGATGATTTTGATGTTGATGTTGATGATCATGGTGATGATGGCGTTGATGCTGCTTCCGCCGATGAAGATGATGATGCTGACGATGGTGTTGGGGTGGCGATTATTTGGATGATGAGGGGGGATCTGATGTTGATGATGCTGATGCTGCGGGTGGTGATGAGGATGGTGATGATGCTGACGATGTTGCTGCTGATGATGATGAGGATCATGGTGATGATGACGATGACGATCATGATATTCATTCCAATACTATTGATTTTGATCAGAACACTGGTGCGAATAGTGGTATCAACAATGATTATGTTGTTGATGGTGATGAGGAGGGTAATGATTTTACTGCTGATTGTGATGCGATGATGTTGGCGACGACGTTGATACCGATGACGGCGATGATGATCATGATGATGATGATGCTGGTGCTCATGATGATGAGGATGATGGTGATGATGACGATGACGATCATGATGTTCATTCCATTAATGTTGGTTTTAACCTGAACACTGGTGCGACTAGTGGTACCAATAATGATTATGTTGTTGGTGATAATGCGGAGGATACTGATTATCGTTCTGATGGTGATGCGATGGTGATGACGACGACGTTGATGCCGATGACGACGATGATGATTACGATGATGATGCTGCTGCTGATGACGAACATGATAATAACGATGCTGATGGTGGTGGTGATGATGGTGATGCTGATGACGGTCATGCTGATGATGATACAGTTGATGGTGTTCATGATGCTGATGCTGGTGGCGAGGGGAGGAGGATGAGGAGGAGGAATTGGACGAAGAGGATGAGGAGGAAGAAAAGGAGGAGGAAGAGAAGCAGGGGGAGATGGATAATTGGACGTGTGGATCGATGGATGCACTGATGCATAACGTCGGTGAATGGGAGTGACAGCTGCACCGCAGA